TGGGTTGTGTTTTAATGCAAGAAGGACATGTGATAGCATATGCATCCAGACAGTTGAAAAGACACGAGGAGAACTATCCGACTCATGATCTGGAGCTAGCTGCAATAATCCACGCTCTAAAAATTTGGAGATCTTATCTTTATGGTGAGAAGGTTAAACTCAATACCGATCATAAGAGTTTAACCCATGTCATCTCGCAGAAAGATTTGAACATCCGACAAAGACGATGGCTAGAATTGATGGCTGATTACGACTTGGAAATTGTTTACCATCCCGGTAAAGCAAATGTCGTAGCTGATGCATTGAGCCGGAAGAAGATATTGTCCGCTATCAGAGTATTGTCCTTATCACAGGAGAATATAGCAGAGTTGTCAGCTATATTGGGTCATTTGACGATTGCAGAGGATGAACAGTTCACAGATCTGAGAACACAGGTAATTTCAGAGCAGCGTAGTGACCCAGATCTCATGAAGTACATACAGGAGATTGAATGATATCGTGAGAAAGGGTATCAGTTGGATGATACACAAGCAGACTACATAACCGGCTTTGTGTACCGGATAACGGTGAGTTGAGACAGAAAATCTTGCAAGAAGCTCATCAGTCTAGATTAGCAATTCATCTAGGAGCTAGCAAGATGTATCGAGGCTTACGACAGTGGTATACGTGACCCGACATAAATACAGGGAATGAATTGGTTGTCGAAGCATCAAGTCCAGATTGATTGTCGCCAGTGAACTATTTGGTTCACTGAGGAGAGCGGAGGATTCGAGTTCGTTGGGAATAGGTCACGGAAGGTGTATCCAGTTATATCAGCTCTGAAGGCTAACAGGATGATCGAGAAAGGGAATGAAGCCTTCTTAGTTGTAATCACAGCAACCGAAGGAGCCGAAGCAAAGCTGGAAGATACTGCCATGGTTCGTGAATTCCCCGATGTGTTTCCTGATGAACTACCCGGACTACCACCAGAACGGGAGGTAGATTTCTCCATTGAGGTTGTGCCAAGAACGAAGCCAATATCTAAGACTCCCCATCGGATGGCTCCGACCGAGATGGCAGAACTGAAGAAGCAGCTGAACGAACTAATGGAGACAGGATTTATCCGACCAAGTGTATCACCGTGGGGAGCACCGGTGTTATTTGTGAAGAAGAAGGATGGAAGTATGCGACTCTGCATTGACTACCGAGGTTTGAACCGTTGACCATCAAGAATCGGTACCCCTTACCGAGAATTGATGAGCTGCTTGACCAGTTGCAAGGAGCGAAGTGGTTTTCTAAGATCGACTTATGTTCTGGGTATTATCAGATCCGTGTAAAGGTTGAGGATATTTAGAAGACTGCCTTTCGAATGAGGTACGGTCACTTCGAATTTGTGGTCATACCGTTTGGGTTGACGAATGCCCCAACCGTTTTCATGCATTTAATGCACCGCGTGTTCATGGATTATCTCGATGAGTTCGTCATAGTCTTTATTGACGACCTCTTGATATATTCACCGGACCAGCAGACGCATGAAGAACACTTGCGGAAGATCTTATGGCGATTGAGAGATAATCAACTATACGCTAAATTCAACAAGTGTGGGTTTTGGTTGCAAGAAATCGGATTCCTTGGTCACGTCGTCTCGGCGCAAGGTATTCAGGTTGATCCGGCAAAGATCGAGGCAGTAATGGATTGGAAGACGCCCACCAATGCGACTGAAATTCGAAGTTTCTTGGGTACAGCAGGCTATTACCGTCGTTTCGTTGAAGGATTCGCTAAACTGGCAAAGCCAATGACGAAACTGACGGGAAAGAATGTACGCTTCGAATGGACAGAAGATTGTGAGAAGAGTTTCATGGAACTCAAGAAGAGGTTGACAACTGAACGTATTTTGGCGTTACCACGTCCAGGTGTTCCGTATTACGTGTATACGGATGCATCGAGGCAAGGATTGGGTTGTGTTTTAATGCAAGAAGGACATGTGATAGCATATGCATCCAGACAGTTGAAAAGACACGAGGAGAACTATCCGACTCATGATCTGGAGCTAGCTGCAATAATCCACGCTCTAAAAATTTGGAGATCTTATCTTTATGGTGAGAAGGTTAAACTCAATACCGATCATAAGAGTTTAACCCATGTCATCTCGCAGAAAGATTTGAACCTCCGTCAAAGACGATGGCTAGAACTAATGACCGATTGAGTTTTAATGCTAATTTTGTTATATACCGAAAACATTATATGTAGTAAAAAATGTGTGATACAATTATGTTTAAGGACTTTCTTTTACAGTTTAAAATAATGAGGAGAAAACTAGAAAACAATATACTTATATACATATACACATTATATATAATATATAGCGAGAGAGAGATGGCCTTATAATGCCGTAAAAGCTACACACGTCATATTTATTGCCACGTAAGTTAAAAAATAATAACAAATTTATTAAGATAAATACTAATTCTTTAAATTCTTTTCGTTTGATATTTTGATCATTTTCATATCCGTTTTCAGGTTCTTTTATATATTTTTATACTTCAAACAGCCAAATTGCATATATATAAATAATTCCTCACAATTCTCCACACCATACAACAAAATCATACAATAAAATCACACTTCTATATATATATATTTGAATACATATAGCCAACTCAAAATAAAGATAGAAAATAGATAATACATATAGCCATTCTAATTTATTAATACATTTTTTTTTAAAATTAGTTGTCCACAAAATTATTCATGTGGATTGCAAGACAAACGAGCACTCTCTAGGCACACATCCCCGTGGCCGCGTGGGTGTTGAGATGTTTGGTTTCCTCACCGGTTAACTCCGGTTCAATCCTCTTACGAGCCGTACCGTTTAATTCGATTTCGGTTTTGTGCGCTATCGAAATTCTATTACCGGATTTTGGCTGATGCAACGAATGAGGAAGCAAACCCTTGGCTCGGCATGTCTCGATGGCGCCGGAGAACATGTCTTCGAGGCTGAACTTGAACTCGAAACCTAACTCCAAAAGCTTCTTCGAACTGAATGCAACGCTCTTTAAATTCTCGTCCACACCTTCAAACCTATTCCAAGAGTTCAGGTTGAAACGAAATTTTCGATTGTTTAGCAATCGATTATACTACATAGAGAGTGTTAGAGTATGCTCATGTCGGCATTCTCGGGTATCGCAATTTGGTGCCTGCATTTTGTGTCCAAGGTTTCGGGTACACAAACTATGAAAACCCGATAAAGTTTATAAGTACTCGCGGTACCCAAACCCAAAAAATATTTTAAGAAATCGACTTATAATAATAAAAAACACACAATATAAGTTATCCGAGCCCATACCCAAATAAATATTAAAAATAAATTGAGATGTATATGTTTTTAACAAATGTATCTAATCCCGATTTTTAATTAATCGTTTCCATATCCGTTAGATGCATAATAAGAAAATTAAACAGTTTCGTACCCATAAAAGGTTAGATATCCGGAAAATTGGGTATCCACAATTCGAGTATCCGATTTTCAGATATTTATGTTTAGATAGAGCAAAATTTTATTAGTGATCGCTCAAAATGGTCGCTATATCGACTATGTGGTAGTAAAACGTTAAAGTTTCCGCATCCTTACACGGAGGGTACGTTGTATTCGGGGTACTTTTGTCCGAGCAATCCCGCGAGAGTAAGGATTGTGGCGTCGTGAGACGAACAGATGTAACGGCCCTTCGCTTTCGGGTGCTCGAACAAGAAGATATGAGCATTGCACAAGTCTTCCAAGTGGACGTATTGCCCTTGCCTTACAATCGAGTAATGAGCTTCGTTACCTGAACAAGACGCCTACATTTATCAAATTCCAACTAAAGAAAATGTCATCTATATATATATATATATGTATGTATGTATGTAACCCACGGGTGATGGGCGAGAGCGCGGTGATGAGGCTAGGCGGCATGGAAGACGTTATAAATGGACCGACGACCAACGGCGGGATAATCGTTATGAGATCTATTCGGTTCTCTTTGGAATATTCCCAAGCGGCTTTCTCTGCCAAAGCCTTTGAAACGAAATACATCTGCGTCGTTTTAGTTCAAAAGCATCAAACATTTTAGACTCGGATTCGATATATGTATACATATGTGTGTATGTATATATATATATACCCATCCTGTCATCTTCTTGGACTTGACGAATTCAAGATCGCTCCAATTAGTTTCGTCGTATTGAGCCCTTTGATGTTCTTCGACGTTGAGAGTTCCTGCCGATGAAGTGAACACAATCCTCCGTACGGTTTTCGCGGTAACACACGCTTTCATGATCCCCAACACTCCGTTCACCGTTGGTTTTATCACTTCGTTCTAAATTAAACGAAAAAAAACTCTCCATAATTCTCAATATAGTTCGATAAATCGATAATATCATATATATAGTTTAGGAGTATTATATAGTTACCTCGGGGTCCTTTGATTCGAAATCCATTGGGGTTGCTACGTGAAATACCCCGTCACAGCCTTGTATAGGCTCATCGTAGCTCCCTTCGACCGATAAATCGGCCTTCCATAACGTCAGATGCGTTTTGGCATTTGGCAAGTCAAGTAGATGTTGCACTTTCTTCACATTTCCTGCGTTTAGAACTCAACAAAATTTGAATACGAAGGATTGTGATTTGCCACAAAAGTTAAATTTGAAACAACGAATCATTTATACTACAAAAGGGTGTGTAGAAACGTATACATACACCTATACGTATATGTGCGTATATATATGGCGTACGTACCAGGGTCACGCACGGTGGCACGAACAAAGTATCCGTGTTCAAGCAGACGCATCACGAGCCACGATCCGATGAATCCCGAGGCGCCCGTTACACATACGGTGTTCTTTTCCGGCCCCATTTGAAGAAAACGATCGTTTATATCAAAAATATTTCTCGGACTATTGTTTAGTAGATGGATTCAGAAGATGATCGACCGTGTTTTATAGACACTTTTGAGGGAATAAGATACGAGAGCATATGTTAGGGGAGGTGAAGCTGCCGTCACGTGAGTACCAACCGGCGAAGCACGTGACAAGTTCGGTTGTTGTAATAACCAATGGGTTTGGTAAGGGACAGTTTTGTTTTCCCGACATTCATTGTCGTTTGACTGGAGGATGCAACGTTGACTGTATATGTGTTTCTTTTTTTTTTTTTTGTAATTGAGGAGACGTTTCTTTTTCTATAAAAGAAAAAAAAATGTGTTGATGTGATTGTCATGGCATCGATTTAGTGTTCGATCTACTAACAAAAAAAAAGCTGTATATATGTATTTGTATATATATTTGCTTAAATGTATATAAATAGGTGGACCTACCTATAAGGAAGTGGGGTCCCATGCCTCTATACTCAATTTGTTTTTTTTAAAAAAATCTATATATATAAAAGTTGGATTTGGAGGAATTAGTATAAAATTTATAAAGCTTTGATGAGAAATAAATAAATGAAAAATATGTAACCGTGGATTGAAAAATTATAAATGTGATATGGTTAATGCTAACGTTTTTTAATAATAAGAAATACTTTGTTACATTATTTTGGAGAATATGGACAATCCAAACGCTAAATTTTTTCCATATTCCAACGTTAATTCATTTATTATATTTGAGGTTTATTTTAAAAATAAATAATTCATTAAATGTTATAACATATACGTTACGTATTATATCGTTCCTTTTCGTCTCTCTCACTATTTAAAAAGACAAAAGAAAAATAATATCCATGGAGACATTCATGGGTTTTCCGTTCAACCATGTTTTATCGTTGTCTTTGGTTTTTTTTTTTTTTTTTTTTTTTTTGTATTTCAGGAACCATCTTCCCAAGGGACGCTTGACACATTTTCTTCATTAAAAAGATTGAAAGAAATGGTTCAAATGGGGAGTCTTGTAACTCACGCAATTAGAAGGGGTAACCTGAAAACTCATGGTGATGTATGTTTTCTTATTCTCTGTCTCCTTTGTACTTCTTATTTGATTCTTTTATTTGATTCATGATGGTGGAGAAAAAATATTTATTACATGAAAAAAGAAACGGGTCATGATAGTTTCGAATAACCCATGTTAAAAATATTGCATAGAGTCAATGAAGAAGCGGGAGGATAAATTTTCATTGAAACAACAAGAACTGGCTGTGGAAACTGGAAAGACATGCCACTCAGGAGAGGAAAAAAGGTATAGGCATCACATCAAATGGAAATGTAATGTTTTTTTTACATCCATAATCTTTCATGTACCTTGCAGCTAATATCAAACATGTGAATTTGTGTGTGCATCTTTTATTAGATTTCTAATCATAAATTTTTTAATCGTAAATCATATATTTGTGTGAATTTTAGAAATTAGTATTTCGTTTTCCATTTCATTGATTTTTTATACTTGGAATGTGTTACTAAGGGTTTGTACAGTTTTGGTTCTCATACCTCATTTTGGAGATTTTTATTGTTACTGATTCATGATTCACGAGATTCATGATTCACGAGGTTGTTTACCAAAATTTCCTTTAGTTTGAATTTTTCAGAAAAATATAGTATCGCTTTTGATGGTGATGAGATGAATGTGAATTTTTCAGAAAATTTTAATTTTTACAGATAAATAGTTGGAAGCATTAAGTATATTTCAAAATCATTTCACCTGAAAAAAAAGTAAATTGAATTATTATGAACAAACTATTACTATATATAACAACTTATTTATATAGATATATATAATGATTTAATATTATATAGATATATATAACACCTAAATATCTTACATGTAAGTTTCTGAAATTTTGATTGGCTATGGAAAAAGTATATATTACATAAGAAGATATTAAATGATTAATACAAAATGAAATGATAAGAATTAATTGAGAATTTTTAACATAATCTAAATTGAAATGATAAAAAATAATAAAATATAATTTTTTAAATGAGATTAATTTGTAAAATATTATTAGATAATAGTTTTAAAAATGTCAATAGATTATTATAATTTAGAAAACACATTTTTAATATAAGAAAACCATTTTGACCACTTTTTATATTATTGAGGATTTTTTATTTGATTACATTAAGATTTAAGATTTATTTTTAACTCGAAAATATTATGTTAATAAAAATAATTAAAAAATGCAATGGAACGTTACAATTTAATAATTAAAAATCTCATATTTATGATTTATATATAAACAAAAACAATTGGACTACATCTAATTTCCAACGCATTGCTATTTAATAAAATAAAAATTAAAAATATCAATAAAACAAAAAAAAACGGTATCGGTGAATTGAAAAGTCATAAAGGTTAATAATGATTTTAATATTTATGCTATATTATGGTATATTCAAAAGCTATTATTGTAAATAGTTAGTGGTAATTAATAAATATTATACGTTATCATGCATTGAAAAGTCATTAACTATATTAGTGGTATATTAATCCGGTAAGAGTCACGCTTTTACCTTCCACAACAAGGCTTTGACTATATGGGTCAGAGGAGAGAGTTTCCAAACCGTCGTACGAACAATAAAAGATTATGAATCGCGTTTACGGTCACTTGGTCGACGTCCGCAACACTTCGACAAGACTTCGTGTGTGTTTGGTCCGAACCGTCGTTATTTCATTTCCGATATCGTCAACGTTGTTCGCACGCGATCTAAACACGATGTTGTACGACCAGGTGCTGGAGCCAACAACGCAGAACCTCCGTTACTTGATGGTGTCAAGTCCGGAATCAGAGTTCATATTCGAGTCTCTGTACGAAACGCACGTTCAGGTCTCAGTTTTGTGTGGGAAGAAACTGCATTTGAATTTGCGCATTCGCAGCGGCGGTCACAATTACGAGGGAGTGTCGTACGTATCGAAGATGAAAATGCCGTTTTTACTTTGTCATTGTGGATTTGTGCACTCTCCGACAAATTGATGTTGAGGTGGATTGTAACAACACGTGAGTTCACATTGGGCTACTGTGTGCGAGGTTTGAATTAAAAAAATGCGTGTTTTATAATCAAATTCATTTCTTTTTGTACTTTAAATTCAATTTTTATATGATTTTTTTGTGTAATTTGCAGGGAAAAAAAGCGGGAAGAAAGTTGATACCATAAATAACAAATAACCTTCATATAAAAACTGTTCGGTTTTTATAGGGCCAAGATAAAGAGGTTGGAACTTAACAAATGTTGCACCATTTTTAGATTTGATTGTTACTTTTCGTTCATATTTTGGTTTTGCCCTTTTCTATCTTCACTTTGTATTCCTTGAAAATGATGAAGGAAACAAGAGATGAATAAAGTGAGATTCACCAATGGAACAAATCGTTCACAAAAACACAAATTCGTCGTCAATTTAATATTTTCAATTATTGGTTTCGGTTAGTCTTTAAATCAGAGTCATCATCATTGTTGTATAAGTTAAAATATGCATACCAAAAGGTTAATAATTTTTGTGAAACAATATAAATGTAGTAATATTTTATATTTTAAATTTATTAGAAATATTTTATTTTAACAGTATAATATTTTGTAATTTGATTTTTTAAACAATAATATAATATTTTATACTATTAAATTTGGTTTTTTATTTATAACTAATTATTGAAATTTTTTAATAAATTTAAAAGGTGTGATTTTTAATATAAATATAGTAATTCAAAATTTAAGATAAAATATGTTTTATGTTATTATTTTTTGAAAATATATAATAATTTTTCATTAGGTCATGTACATATTCATCTATTTATATCTATATTATTTGAGTTTCTTTTGATTTTAGAACTTTTGTTTTAAAAAAAACTATATCTAAATATCTTTAAAAAAATCGAATCGATTTAAATTTTATTTGAATTAATTTTATTTCTTTCTCCTTTTTCCTTTTCCTTCCCTCTTCTTTTCATTCTTTTTCTCTCTTCTTTTTTCTCTTTTTTCTCTGTTTCTTTTCCTTATTTTTCTTATTTTTCCTTTTTTTAATAATCATTCAAGAGTACTAAACCAACAGAAGAGTATCAAGTGATGCCTATGTCACTATTTTTTTTCGAAGTGTACTTGATATAACTGTGAAGTATCGCTGACTCTTATTCGCAATCATTGAACCAAATCACTTTTGAATAGACACCATCGAAGATGAAATCAGAACTCTCCTAAACCAAAAGATTTTTTTTAAGCACGTAAACCCGTAAACCCATTCATGTCAAGTGGTTTCGTAAGGATATCAACTAATTGGCGTTCAATGGGTGCATACTCAATCAAAAACTACCCTAATTTGCTCTTTGAGAAAGTGGTGTCGAATCCATATACCTTCAACTTGAGTGTACCCTTGAGCTACTAACCTGACTTTGCTGCGAATAACTCTTTCATCTTCATGCATTGTCTTGAAGTAGTACTCATAATTCAAAATCTCATTCATCTTAGTAGATCCATCCTACGAAATGAAGCAAACAAACCTAGCCATATCTTGATAATTCAATCGAGGTTTGTTTCTTACCTGTCGTGGGTCATTCACACTTCCAATCACACCATCAACTAAGTGGTTTCGACGAACATGGGGCTTAGGATCATCTTTCATAATTTCATCTTGCGTTTTAGAATTCTGAGATGAAGTGAGATATACCTGGTCAAATTCTGAGTGATCAGTGATTGATTCTCGAAGTATATCAGATATCTCGTATGTTTTCTCTGCACTTTGATGCCATAACTCTGTCCTCGATTGATCATCTTGAAGATTTAACCAGGTATAACAATTACTTGGTGTCCGTTTTCCTGTCAACACACACTCATTCAACGAGTTAGTGACTAAACATACATCTTTAGTGAAGTGTACCTGAAGTCCAGAGTCACAAAGTTGACTTATGCTAATGAGATTCGCCTTGAGTCCTTCAACCACATTCACATCTGTGAGGGTAGACAGTCCAGATGAGTCCAACGTTCCTTTCCCAATGATCTTTCCTTTTCGTCCATCACCAAATTAACATTTCCACCCTTGTAGCTTTCTTCAAAAGTAGAAAGTCGGCTCATGTCACCAGTCATATGTTTCGAGCATCCACTGTCGAAATACCACTGACTTTCTCTTGAATTTAGCTCTGAAGTACATGCAACATTGCACCTGTTGATATCTTTCCTCCTCCAGACTTGTCTCCATCTTGGTGCGAGTGGTACCTGATTTCTCCTCCAGTAGCAGTTCACTCTGATATGTCCTCTTTTGCCACAATGAAAACAACTTCTGTGCTCACGATACTGCTTTCTCGGATGAAGATCAACCTTGATTCTTCTGTCTCGGATGAAGATCAGTCTTGATTCTTAGAGTATTTCTGACTGGAACAATCTTCTCATCTCCAAGATTTCCTCCTGAAATAAAGTTTCCTACTTTGTTAATACTTTCTCCAGTTTATCCAAGGCCAGCATGTCCAGACTCAGTTCGTCCAATCGTCAGAAGATGCTCAAGTTTTTCTATACCACTTCCAAACATCCTTACTTTCTTCATAGTATCATCGAGCTGACTTTGAAGTAAGGTGATTTTTTCTTCTTTTTCTTTCAGCTGCTTCTTTAAATCAATGGTCAATGACTCTTTCTCCCTTTGTTCTTTGATCAGCTATTTCTTCAGGTCAGTGATTGTTGACTCACTCTGTTTCTGTTCTTTGATCAACTTCATGTTGATATCGTAAAACTTTGTCATCTCTTTGTACAAATCTTCTTCACTAACCTCCTATTCTTGTTCCTCACGCTCTTCTATGTCACCAAAGAACGCAGTGAAATTTGAGTGTTCTTCTCCATCTTCATCAGATTCAGTTTCCCAATCTTCGTGAGTGAGGGAAGTTTTTCCTTTTGATTTCCCAGCAGCACACTCATTTTTCATATGACCATACCCTTGGCACTCATAACATTGAAGATCCTTTAAATTCTTCAACATTACTTCCCTCTTAGCAATGCTAGGACACTCGGCTTTCCAATGACCAGCTCCCTTGTATTCGAGATACTTTCCAGTGTTTCTCAGCTCAGATTTTCCAACAATCACTGGTTTTTTCTTGAAAAACCTATTGAACCTTTTGACAATCATCGCCATGTCCTCCTCCAGTGATACTTGACCTTGAGTGTCAGTTATCTCTAGGACATGGAATGCCAAATTCTTGTTGGAGGTTACCACTCTGTTTGGCTTATCATACATCTCCAATTCTAACTCATGAGCAACGAATGCACCGACAGTTTCTTTGAAACTTATTATGTCCACATTATCCACCATAATAAATGCAGATTTGTGAGAAAGAAACTTTTTAGGTAAACTTACAAGGAGTTTTGCCACTAGTTGTTTGTCTCGGTAGGTCTTTCCAAGAACCTCAGCCTCGTTTGCTAATGGATTCATTTTCACCCATCTGAAGCATGTTGAATTGATGTTTGATCATATCTCTCCTTGTGCGTTTGACACTTGAAGTACCTTCATGGATAAGTTCAAGTGAATTCCATGGTTCCTTCGCTGATTTTCATCCTTGAATCTGCTTGAATTCATCCTGGTCAACAGTATTGAAGATGATGGTTATCGCCTTTGAATTCAATGTCGATGCTCTCTTCTCTTGCATTGCCCATTTAGATATGGGCTTCAGAATTTCTTTCCCATCAACCACGTGAGTTGGAGCACTCCACCCTTCTTCCACCGAACTCCAAGCATCTTCATCAATCCCTTTGATGAGATTCATTGCCTTAACTTTCCAAAAACTGTAATTCTCCGAATCGAGAATCGTGGATCTTCCATGAGCGTGAATCTCTTTGAACAAGTCCATGTTGTGACTTTCACACTAGCACCGATATGAGAGACACGTTCCTACGATCGGTGACCGGGCTCTGATACCAATTGAAAAAGTTGGACCATCAAAGAGTAAAACGGAAAAACTAACCAGTTCTATTCACTTGAGAAAAATGTCAAGTACAACTCATTTTTTGTTAGAGTTACTCAACACCCAGATGAAACTTCCCCTGAGTTTCAACCCACTCTCACAATGAATTCTACCAATCAAAAACCTTACCAAACATAAACGCTCATCAAAAGAACATAGATTTTTCCATTAGATCTCCCCCTCAAATCCACGCCTAAACACTCACCAGAGAAAAGATTTTGTCCAATCGGTCTCTCTCTCAGACACACACTCACTCAAAAGTGAGTTATCACTCACCAACGAAAAGACTCTCTTTAGTAAAATTTGATTTGCTCTCCGTAAGAACTGATATGCAACTTGTGTCTCCTTTATATAGGCCCCTCCAGTTCGCCTTAGATCTCCACGAATTGATTTGATAGACTCCTCCTTGATTTTCTTCGATTTCATCTCTATCTCCAAGATCTCATCTTTATCTCTATCTCTTCAAGTCTTTGACTTTGTCTCCAAGATCTTGTCTCTATCTCAAATCACCTCAATTCTTCTCAGCTTTGATTCTATCTTCATCTCTTCAAGTCCAATCCAAACTTCGTGGCTCTATCTCTTCAGATTGTTTTCCCTAAAATATCTCCAAGTGGTTGACATTGAGCCCATCTCAATCTCTTAGTATTTGACTTTTTCTCCAACTCCTCAGACTTACCTCAAAATATCTCGAGCTGTATCTTACCGGATTTCTCTCTTGAAATCTCTCAAGTTTGTTGAATCCGCATTATCCATTTAACAAACAAAACAACACATGTGCAAATAATTGCACTAACATGTATGTATATATATGAGCCCTTTTTTCTAACAGATGGATTGACAATTTAAAAAGCACCTCATCAAATTATAATTGGAAAAAATGGCTAAAATCGTTTTGGGTGAAAAAATGGCTAAACTTAAAATATAAATTATAATTGGTAGGGCGAAAAACCACTTGACCCGAATAGTCTCTCGGAGCCAAGACTCCCAAAAAACACACGTTTGAGGGTACCACGGTCTTGTATGTCTGGCCCTTTAAATCCATTCACAGTGGCAATAGCCTCAAAATCCTATTTCAGATTATAAGTCATAGTTGATCTCTAATAAGACGTCATGACTACCCACTTTGAATTGAATTACAATTGATATAATTAAAGTCGATAATATTTCAAACTTTGATAATTTTCTCATGATATCATATGTTGGGCATAAGATATGAAACCACATTTTGTTCCTTGAGTCGATTGAAATGAATAGATAACACTCGTCTGCATTTCTGTAGTCTAACTCACCCGAGAGATCCAACAATATCTCTTTCAGTCTGACAGTGATAAATCTCGGCTTGACCATCTTACCCTTCATAACGTACCACATCAAAGTTTTTATGATCAAACGGTTAAAGAAGACATTTATATTC